AAGTGCAGAATGGTGGTAGAATGTGCGTTTGGAGATTTGAAAGCGCGCTGGCGCAGTTTACTGACTCGGTTAGATCTCAGCACAAGCAATATTCCAATTGTAATTGCTGCTTGTTGCGTGCTCCACAATATCTGTGAGAGTAATATCTGTGAGGTTTATGGCAGGATGGGAGGTTGAGGCAACTCGCCTGGCAGCCAGTTTCACACAGCCAGACAACAGGGTGATTAGAAGAGTGCAGCAGGGTGCACTGCACATCAGAGAAGCTTTGAAAGCCAGGTTCATGACTGGCCGGGGTATGGTATGAGAGTTGTGTTTGTTTCTCTTAAAGTTACCCACACCCTATATATATATATATGAAAGGAAATAAAGTCACAATTGTTTAAAAACTGTTCTTTATTATTTGTTGCACAAAACATTGAGAGAAATCAGAACCTAGATGGAGGAGGGGGGGTATTGGGTTGGGGCGTGGAGGAGGAGGGAAGGACAAATCCAGAAACCAAATCAAAATTTAGGATATGCCAGCTTTCTGCTGCTTGTGCAATCCTCTGGGGTTGACTGTGTAGGTCCCCATAGCCTTCCCCCTCCCCGTGTTCTTGGGCATCTGGATGAGGACGATATGGAACTTGGGGAGGAGGGAGGGCGGTTATACAGGGGCTGCAGCGGCAGTCTGTGGTCTTGCTGTCTTTTCCGCATTAGATCCACCATACAGTGGAGCATGTCAGTTTGCTCCCCCATGAGCTTGACCATAGCATCCTGCCTGCTCTCATTGTGCGCGTCCCTCCTCTCTTTGTGTTCATTTAACGCTTTACGGGACTCTGAAATTGTTTGCCTCGACACATTCAGCTGGGCCCTATCAGTGCAGGAGGACTGTATGAGCTCAGCGAACATGTCATCCCGAGTTCGTTTTTTCCGCCTTCTAATCTGGACCGGCCTCTGGGACAGAGTAGATAGGGCCCACGTTGAAACATTTGCACCTGCTTCGGAAAGAGAAAAAGAGAGGGTAGTATTTTAAAAGATACATTTTAGAGAACAAAGGAGGCACTGTTTCTCAGTGAAACAGGCAATTCATAGTACTCAGCACATGTTGTTTCTGTACAAGGTCTCATTTTGCCTCTTATACTGAAGTGCCTGCCACTTTGGTGTGAGTAAGCCACCACACGTGGCCGGGCAACAGAATTCAGCTTGCAGGCAGCCTGTGGGCTCTCTGGGATGATCGCTTCACACAACACCCTTCCCCCCCCCAACACACACACACTGCAGGGCTCCCATGAGGCTCGGAGCAGTGATGAGGCCTTTAAACTAAACGTGAACTGCCCAGCGCGGCTGGGTTTCCCCCCAACCCCCACCGTGTGGCTCCGATCAAGCTCTCACTCACCAGAAGTGCCTTCTCCAGGGTCATGGTCCGGGAGCATGCTTTGAGAGAAGGGGGAGACTATTGGCTCCAGCATTAAGAATAGTTCTTGGCTGGGGGAAAAAACAGATTCCCCACTTGCTGCCTGTGCACTGTCCTCCTCCTCCTCTTTGTCCTCCAAAAACTCATCATCCTCACTCCATGCTACTCCCCCCTTGCAGGTGTCCATGGACAGTGGTGGGGTAGTGGTGTCATCACCCCCCATAATTGCATGCAGCTCATGATAGAAACGGCATGTATGGGGCTGTGACCCAGAGCACCTGTTCACCTCCCTTGCTTTTTGGTACGCTTGCCTGAGCTCCTTGATTTTTGTACGACGCTGTTCTGTGTCCTTGGAGTAGCCTCTTTCCGTCATGGCCCTGGAGACTTCAGCGTACGTATTTGCATTCTCTTTTTTGGAACGTAGTTCTGCCATAACAGATTTGTCTTCCCAACATGCAATGAGATCCAGTACCTCCCGTTCGGACCATGCTGGAACTTTCTGTGAATCCGGGACTGCGTGGTCGCCTGTGATGATGGACTGTGCTGATGGTCACCTGTGCTGATGGTGACCAAACAGGAAATTCAAAAGTTCCCAGGGCTTTTACTGCCTTCCTGGCTAGTGCATTGGAGTTCAAAGTGTTGTCCAGAGCGGTCACAAGGGAGCATTCTGAGATAGCTCCCGGAAGTCAATATCGTCAAATTGTGTCCACAGTACCTGTAACCCAGAACTGCGATCTCAGTTTTAGAGCTACTCCATTTGCCAAGGTGGAGTACAGAAATCGGAATAAGGAGCCCTTTAAATTGAAAAAACTGGTTTGGTCGTGTGGATGGAACCAGTTTTATTTCGAGATAACTCAGCTAATTCCAAAATAACCGCGTACTGTAGACCAGGCCTTAGTGGTACTTGATCCAGGTCTTCTCAAATTGCTTTGGCTTTCTCAGGGCTAGGACAGATTCCATCTCTGTTTATTGTCTGCCCTAAAACTTGATTTGGGATAGGCGGAAAATGCATTTTCCCTTGGCTAGCTGCAGCGTTGTCTCTTAAGGTTAGTTGTACTGGATCTCCTTTCAAAAGTCCAATATCACAAAATATTCCATCAAGTTTTTCCACCTTTAATAAGGCCTCCATTACTGTTGTATCTGAATGCCATACAATCTTTAATATATTTATCCTAACAACATACCTTTCAGGTGGGACCAGGGCTCAATTTCCCACAGGGGTCTATGGTGGAGCAAAGAATTGAACCAGAGTCTCTAGTCCTACTCTGATGCCCTAACTACTGCATCATCCTTCCTCTCTTGTCACCTTGCTTCTTTGTTATAGGTTTCCTATCTGGCTAGTGTGTTGGTTATGGAGAGACACCAGAGACCTCCTTTAATCAGTGGGCACAGGGGCTTGATTTTGAGGTGAAAGCTGCACAGAAATGATCATGGTGTGTTGCAGGGTTGGCCTGCAGTTTCTGCTTTCAGCACTATGCTCGACATGACAGAATGAGTCATACTTCCTCCACTACTAAAGGCTGTCAAATCAGGCATCCCTATTGGCAGTTATCTTGCATTGGCAATGACTACACTGCTGAGAATAGGGTTACCATATTTGAACACTCAAAAAAGAGGACAATCCATAGGGCAGGGGGAATTTGCTCGCACCCCCTGGGCCCACCCCAACTCCACCTCTTCCCCACCCCCATTCCAACCCCTTTCCCAAAGTCCCCGCCCCAACTCCGCCCCCTCCCTGCCCCATTGGACCCCTTCCCCAAATCCCCGCCCCGGCTCCGCCTCCTCTCCTTAGCGCGCTGCATTCCCCCTCTTCCCCACTCCCTCCCAGCCGTGCGAAACAGCTGTTTCACGGCGCAAGCACTGAGAGCTAGGGGGAAAAAGCGGACACTCTCTAGAGTAATCAACATTCACTTTCTTTCTTGAATGATTAATTCTTCTTTGGGGAAAAATAATAATGACAAAATCCCGGACGTTTTTAGATATTTAAAAATTCCTCGCGGACGGTGATTTAAGAACCAAAAAGCCAGACATGTCCAGGAAAATACGGACGTACGGTAACCCTACTGAGAAGGCTGTTGGTCTGTGTCCCTTTGATCATATACAAAGACAAAAGCTATGCATTCAGAGTGCAGCATGAGTAGGCTGCGCACATCTCCTTTTATCAGTCAACTAATCTGCTATATGCACAATCATATTGCTCACTTTCCAGCCCAGTGTATGAAACAACATTAACTCTCCGAAGTCCTGACTGGCACAAGTTTCACCCATCCATAAACTCCCCAGCTCCCGTCTATCATGGGATAGTGCATAGGATATCAAAGCATTCATACATTGCTGAGCTGGTTTGCAATACCCTGACACAGACAGCAGTGGACAGAGAGCCTCAAAGCTGAAGTTCCTCCAGGTACTTTGCTGGAGTCAGGTACTTCGCTTATTTTAGGGCTTGACTGTGACCTGCTTAATGACCAGTGTAGAGGAATGAGTGGACATAAGGTGCCTCATTATTATTCCCCTGCATAGACTTCCTGTACCTCGGGGCTGCCACCCCCCTCCTGCACAGCTGGGCAGAACGTTGGCTCCTCCCCCAAAGCATTGGGCAATGCTGCTGTGGGGGAAAGGGAGCTCGCTGTTGCCAGTGGGGAAAGGGCTGGGGACAGTGCTCCTCTCTGGCCCCAGCCCTGGAGCAGCCTGCCTGCACCCCAAACTTCTCATCCCCCGCCCTGCCCCACCCTAGAGCCCGCACCCCCAGCCAGATCCCTCACCTCTCCCCCGAACCCCAACCCTCTGCCCCAGCCCTGAGTCCTCTCCTGCACTCTGAATCCTTCATCCCTGGCTGCACCCCACCCCACATCCCTCAGCCCCGCACCTCAACCCTCTACCCTAGCCCTGAGCCCCTCCCACACCCCTCAGCTAGAGCCCTCACCCTCCCGCACCCCAACACTCTGCCCTATCCCAGAGCCCCTCCCACACCCCAAACCCCTCAACCCCAGCCCCAGCCCAGAGCCCTCACATTTTTACATTATTTTTAAAAATATATATCGGCTTACAAGGCGGGACCCATTCTGGGCACCACCAAAAATTATACAAACATGCCGCCCCTGTGCACATGTGGTGGCATGGCAGGGACAGGGAGATGGAGAGCTGGCACAGATTAGCTCCTCCACGGACCAAGATGGGGACCTAAGGACCAGACGACATCTCAGTCACAACCTGGCCCCTGCTCCTGGAGCAGTGCAACTACATGCTGCCTCGTTTCAGGGCTTGTTGCAAATCTAGCCCTTAATATAGTTTTCTTATGCAAAGACATACTGTATTTGATAGAATTCTAGAAACGTATAGCCCTTGTCCTTTGCGTAAGTGCCATTACAATTTAATTAGTCAGGGGCTGCAGGAACGCCTGCATTCACAGGGCCCCTTTTTCTGATGATGAGTTGCTTACAGGGCCCATGCCTGGCATTTCTTTGCAGGGGCTCAACAGTGTTTTTCAGCCTGGAGGGGAAGCTCACTCTCTCACATGGGGGCGGCACAGGACCACAATCAGGACTGCAGATTTCACCCTGTCATTTCTAATCAAACCCACCTCTCCTTTGTTATTTTTTAATTGCAGCTCAATATTTCGCTAGCATCATGGTCATTGTTGGTCTCTCGGTGGTGGTAACGGTCCTGGTTCTTCAGTTTCATCATCACGATCCACAAGCGGGAAAAATGCCCCACTGGGTAAGTGGCTTCAACATGGACATATGCAGTAACAGGAAATAAATGATTCTTCTTGATATTGAACTGATGGGACCACAACTTGTTGTAATCAGCTAAATAATTGTGATTGAACAGAACAGGTGTGATATCACCATGCTGGCTGCGTCACGTAGAAAAAAACCCCACACACCCAGAATCTGGGTGACCATTCAAAAGGCACCCTGGTTATTAGGCTTCCCACTGGAGTTTGTGCCATTTACTGTTCCGATAACATGGGAAAGTCAAACAGCCTGGCAAACCAAAGCTGCTCTTCTTAATGGTGCCCACTTTGCTATTGCCAGCCCCAAGGACCCCTACTGCTCTCTGACCCACTGGCACAGAAAAGCTTTACGGTTTTCAAAGCACAAAACACAAACACGTCTCAGCCACCACGGATCCTTTTGTTGTTGTGTTTACGCTCCAGGAGCCCCATTTCAGTCAGCACAGAGCAAGTGGCAGCACAGAGGTTCCGAATCTGAACCTGGATCTGCCTCCCGAATTTTCCCGTTGGTTCCTGGCACTGTATGAACTGGGCCAGCTTACCAACTGGAACCCCCATTGCTCTCTTATTCGGACATGGCAGTTGGGGTAAGCCCAGCTAGACCGTGATCACATCTCTCTCAGCCCACCCCCACTCACTCAATAGGGTGAGTGAGCAGAGGAGACCAGAACCAGAACAGCTGTTACAACCAGAACAGCCACTTCCATTGACACCATCTAAGTACATTCAGGACACTTCTAGACTCACCTGCTGGGAGATCTGTCCTGGGCCAACCCAATGCCTCAGGTTCAACTCAGCCAGTCTTCATCGGGAGAGCTTCTTTTGTAGCTGGGAGGCTAAATCCCAGTCTGAGCTGCGGAGGCAGGCCCCATGTTGTGCGGAACATGAGAGCTGCCCTGGCACAGCTGAGGAACGCTCTCCCTGCCCCAGCTTGGGATTGAGGGTAGTCCTGACACAACACGCTGGAGAGATGAGCTCATCAGCATTGTGACATCTCTGGTGATGCCTCTCTGCACTGAATGGAAGCGGAAGCCTGAGCTACCTCTTCCCCACCAGCAGGTCAGGGCTGGTGATTGTATGGCTGGTGCCCTGGGCTTGTTCTGTGGCTATATGAAGGATTTCAGCCTGCAGGCATGTCACAGTCTTAAGACCAGACCCTTGCAATCTCCTCCTAGCATTGGCCAAGATGGCCATCCATCAGTCTAGGAGGGGGAGCTTGACGGGTCGGGGGAAGTCTGTGACTGCAGGTGGTCGTTTCCTTTTACTGCTACACTCATGCATATGGGCAGAGTTCCTCTGGGCGGTGGCCACTGACTTCTCTGAAGAGCAGGGGGCGTTGTCCTCAGTTCTGTGTTCAGTGGTCCCCTCTAGATCTCTCATTTTGGTCCTGTGACCTGCACCCCAATTCCTGTTTGTACCTCCCTGGTAGTAGATTAAGTCCTGGTGCTGTGGCCCTCCCTCTTCTGAGGGGGCCATGTTTCCTCACTTTGCTGGGCTCTGCCCACCAGTTCCAGCTAATCAGACAGGCTGGGGCCTTTCAGGAGCAATATACGCTCTTCAGATGTTCAAGTAAAAACCCCAAAACCAAAACAAAACACAGTTTTTCTCTCACTGTTTCTCATGGGGAGACTTTATAGGGTGCAGCAGCCTCTGACACTTAGTTCATTGTCTCTGACAAGATAGAAAAATGTCACACAACCCATCAATGTCACCTGGTGTTAGAGACGAAACACACAACAGATTTGGGTGGCGGGAGGGGGAAACTGCCCAGTATCCAATTTCACATCCCATTTCATCTGCTCTAAAAATACTCCAGGGTGTTGATGCAAGTTTAAAGCAAACAGTGGAAAATCCAGTAGCTGGGCATGCTAGTAATGATTTCTTAGTGCAACTTTCATGACATTTAAAATAATTGTTTTACCTTCCAGACAGCACAGCCAATGAATTCTGAATGATCATCATCATCCAGTTACAATGCTCTAAGAGAGCGTTAAAGAGAACCATCCCACCCATGAATCCATGTGCCAAGAGCAGTTGCACCATGGCCCTAGCAGCCCAGGTGTGACTCCTGCATATTCTGCCTTAATAAGAACTTTGGTTGGCTGCCTTGTGGAATGTGCTTACCAGTCTCTGGACCCTCCTGACCTTCCAGGGGTTCTAATCACTCATCAGTCCCATCAAGACACCCTCTGATCATTCTGCTAAGTGTGAGATGAAGCTACCCAGCAAAGCTACAGCAGTTTCAGCCACAGAGGAGCCAGAGTGGAGACCCTATTTTGGTCAGCTAAATTTCCTGCGTTGGCATGGTTGGCACACTGTGAAGCTTTAATAACTTAGCAGGCCTTATCATAAGCCTTAACTAGTGGTGCATGAAACCAGCCCCTCAACTGAGGCATTATCTTTGTGGGGACCAGGCAACTCATGGAGAACTCTTCCCTCAGTGGAAGTGATCAGACGTGGCTTCTGGTCACTCAGCTTTGGGAGCCCCGCACCCAGAGTGCAGAGAGGGAATATTTGGAGGCTGCAGGACATCACAGAATGAGGTTCTCCTTCCAGCAGATTGCTGTGTTGGAATCTCCTATCCCTGCATCGGCCTTGGAGCAACAAAGCCCCAGCCAGAGCTGATCAGAACTCTCAGCATCATGAACGTTCTGGGTACATCGGAGCTGGGACCCACCCGCTCTGCTGCAGAGCTTCCAGTACACACAGGGCTGACCTTGCACCAGTATCTCAGGGCAAACTGCATTTAGGCTTGTTCTAGCAGCACAGACACTTCCACTGTTCACACTAGTGCTGGCTGTGATGAGGGCTCTACCTAGTTACAGGAAGGTCAACTAATCCCGAGGGAAGGGAAGGGCCGGGCCGGTGCAAAGGGCATGAAGGAGAAGCAACCCAGGGAGAGAGGCGGACAAGGGGAGAGACAAGGGGAGAGAAGGAGGGCAGGAAGGCTGCCGCCAAAGGGTCCCTGGGTCGGGACCCAGAGTAGAGGGCGGGCCTGGGTCCCGCCCACTTCCCCCTTGCACATACACCCAGCCATTGGACGTGGCAATAGTGGACTGCACCAGAGCCCTGGCAAAAGGGGTTAGACTTTGGGGTGTGGTTGGCCGCTGGGACTGGGCGAAGTGAAAGACTGCTGATAAACACCCCCCTACTCCGTAAGGGGGTCAACGAGGACTAGGGGGCACTGCCGGAGGGCAGTGTCTTGAAGAGGACGCCGCAAGAAGGGAGCAACGTGGGTCCAGGCGCCAAGAGAGGGCGAGAGACGGACAGGACACCACCAGTGGAGGACGCTCCACACTGGTCTGAGCTAATTCCCTGACGAGTCAGCAGGTGGCGCTGCGGTGGTGAGTCCCAACCCCGTCACAAGTGGTGGAGAATGTGGGCAATGACCAGGACCTGCTAGAAGGACCCACATGTACAAGACGGAGACGGATAAGCTCCTAAAATGGCTGCTGGAAAACCAGCAGCAACAGCAGACGCAGCTGTTACAGCAACTGGCGGCACAGTAGCAACTGCAGGGAGCAAAGCAACAAGAATCCCGGCAACAGCTGGTTCGGGAGTTAGCCGCCCAGCAGCAAGCGAGTCAAGATCGACTCTTTCAACAGGTGGTGACCTTGTTGAAAACGGCAGCCAGTCCTCCCCCAACCCAGCTGGAGGAGGGCCAGGGGAGGGCTGCGGGGGGACTACCGGTGCGGCTGACGAAGATGGGGCCAGGGGACGACCGCAAAGCCTTCTTAGTAATTTTTGAATGGGTAGCTACGGCCAGTCAGTAGCCCCTCGAGCATTGGGCCACTATTCTCGCCCCGTATTTAACGGGACCCACGCAGGCTGCTTACCGCAATCTGGACCCACAGGAGATGCTGCAATATGAGAAGGTTAAGGCTGCCATCCTAGACCAGATGGGCATCAGTCCAGAGACGTATCGACAGAGGTTGCGTCAAGAGAAATATCTGCCCGGGGCCAGACCACGGGCCGTAGCCCAGAAGGTCCGTGACCTCTGTTGGAGGTGGCTAGAGCCTGATTGCCATACTAGTTGCCAGGTGGCCGAGGCTGTGGCACTGGAACAGTTCCTCTGGATCCTTCCCGCCGGGGGGAAGGAGTCGGTGCAGCGACACCAGCCAAAGACCCTCGCAGAGGCTACGTCCCTCGTCGAAGACTTCATGGCAGCAGAGCCAGAAGAGCGAGCTGGTCTTAAGACAAGGACTTCAGGAGGGGGAGTCTGACCCCCAGAGGGAGCGGTGCATATGACCGGTGGGGGAGGTCCCCATTTGCCCATCCGGCAGTTGGGGTCTCCAACAAACCCCAAGCCCCGGGGCCCCTCGGCAGCATGCCTGCGCCGAGACCAAGAGGACCCGTCTGGGGAGTCAAGCCTACTGCAAGGCACCCTACCCTCAGAGGGGAATCACAATAGATGCTACCAGTGCGGACAAAGGGGGCATTTCAGGAGAGAGTGCCCCTACATGGAGTGTAATTATGGACAGGTCCTGATGGCAGACCGACAAGCCCGGAAGGACGGGCTGGCGAAGGTGGTGATCCCGGTGCGAGTGGAGGGAACCCCAACCTTCGCATTGGTTGACTCAGGGTGCAGCCAGACTGTCATTCACACGGGACTGGTAGAGGACTCCCTTCCCGCTGGGGCCCCGATACAGTTACAATGTATACATGGGGACGTGAAGGCTTATCCCACCGTCTGGGTACAACTGGAGGTAACCCAATGAGAGGCACATTGCTTAGTGGGGGTGGCCCCTAGATTAGCATACCCCGTGGTCTTGGGTTGCAACTGGCCTGGTTTTGCCGGTCTTATGCGGGGTTGGAGCGGACAGCCCGTGAAGAGGAAGAGAGCCTGCTATGGGAGGCATGGTTTGTTGGGCCAACCCGGGGCACAAGACCCCTTGGAAAGGACACCGAGAGGGCCCGAAGTAACTGAAGGGAGCCAAACCCCGACCGACGGTCCGACAGGAGAAGAGACGAGGTGGCTGGA